ATCCGTACCCAAGCTTCATTTTCTGAAAAAGAAGCGAGTCAATTGATGAAAAAACTTGTTTCCGCTGTTAATTTCATGCATAGCAATGATATATGTCACCGAGATCTCAAGCCCGAAGTAGGAAAAGACTTTGCGCTTCTCTACTCGAATATTGACTCTGCTAGAATTTACTATTCTCCTCACCGAATGCAAATGCGGAAATTAAAATCATCGATTTTGGTTTTGCTAAGAAACGCACGAAACATCAACCGATGACAACACCGTGTGGGACACTTCTGTAAGTTGTAATTAATCTGAAAAAGTTCTCTTTTAATCTTCTATTTGCAGATATACTGCACCTGAAGTTCTTCGTGCGGCGACATCATTTAAAGATTCTCAATCTTCATGTTTATCAACGTCATCTTCATCATCATCTATAAGTACAACGACAGCTCTTGTTCCTGTAATAACAACAATAAATTCAGGTGCAACAACATATGGTTATGATGAATCGTGCGATCTTTGGTCGCTTGGTGTGATTCTGTATACAATGTTAAGCGGAGAAGTGCCATTCAATTCAATAGCTGCTCATCGAACAGCTGAAGAGATTGTTGAAGATATAACACGGTCGAAACTATCGTATAGTTCTCCTGGATGGAGGAATGTTTCACAAGCAGCAAAAGATCTTGTTAAAGGTATGGAAAATTTCGGTGACTATTTCGCCAAATTTAATTTGATTTAGGTTTACTAACGGTGGATCCATCGAAACGATTAACAATCAAAGATTTAACAAGGAATACATGGCTTCGCAGTTCAAGCACTACCACAATACTTGATCATCCTCAACTTCTACTAACTCCGAGCATACTTTCACAAGCATCTCGATCGTTGATTGTACGTCCAGAATCGAATACCGGATAGAATGCTTAGTTTTCTCCTTTCTTTCTCTCTTCTAGGTTCGAGCAGTTAATGTCACAATGCGTGCATTTCAAAAAGCTGGTCAATTTCAACTTTCATCTGTCAATGACGGAGTTCTTGCCCGACGTCGTTATACGAAAAAGTCAACTGATTCTTGTTCATCGACATCCAGTTCAACAACGACTTCGACAGCTGCTGTTGTTCCCACTGGCATTCCTCCGTCAACGCTGCCACATACCCGTCGTTTATGTGGTAATGGTATATGTCGATGTCGGCATGCGCCATGTCCGCCAACGAATGACTCGTCTTCTTCGTCCTCGTTTGATTTCAGCGACGAACGACTCTCGCAGCTGATTGATCAATACCCTTTAACAACAACAACAACAGCGACAACTAGTCCTCCAAAACGTTATGGAATGACATTAAGATCACGTGGAATTGCAGCTCCAAGCGGTATCACACATGAATTTGCGTCTCCAGCTCCGCCACCACCATTACTTGTACCCTCTCTGTCTTCTTCATCGTCTTCCTCTTCTATAATAGTCGACGTACCCTCATCAGTAAATCTGACTGGTGAAAAACGTCCGTTGACATCGCCAATTAATCATTTAGTCGCACCGGTTCATAAAAAACTCAAACGATCAGGCACAATAACGATCGATGATTAGTTATTCTATAATTTATTTCATTTTTCTGCATCTTCCTCACAAACACATATTTCTTTTCTCAATCATCATTATTATTATTATTATCGTCAGTGCTTGTGTTTGTTTCTTCTTTTTTTCCTTCATCACTTCTGTTGTTGTTGTTGTTGCTTTTCGTTTTTCTTCTGGTTGGGAAAGATCAATTTACTCCCTCGTATGTCCATGTGCCTCTTATTTTCTTTCTTCTCTTCATGTTTTCTTTTTTGTAACAATCACTACGGATGATGGATTTTGTGGAAGAAATCTCTGTTTATGCAGACAGTTTTTCAAACGTAATACTCTTGCCAAATACCATCGTATCATTGAACATCGAGAATTTCTCTAGTTAAAAAGTAACATTGATTAAAACACAGAAGAATGCATTGTTCAGGTCAGAAACAAAATCATTTTATTATTGACAGGTGTATTCTTTTCCGTAGTAATGAAGCCCTACATGACTTTCTTTTGTGTTGACGGAATAAGTTTGAATCAAAATTATTGTAAAACAACTACTTTAATTGGAGTAAATAGTGTTTCCTGCTCTTACGAAGTCATGACAGGTATATAAATACATTTGATAGTCGTGATATATTAATGTATGACTACATGCTTGATGCAATTTTCTCTATGAAAATAATCTGAAAGAAGTTCATCTGGTAAGGTGCTTTGAAGAACAAATAATTACACGTATGAGAGCATTTCTATTCGAAATAAAAACATACGACATTCCTATTAATAAACATTGAGTTGAATTAGTTTCTCCCAGGAAACTCAGACAAATGGGATGATCATTTTATGAGCTATTCAAGGAAGAACTACGACGAGCTGAATATCTGCGTTTTGGAATAATTCGATTCAACTTACAATTTAATCATGTTTACTTCGAATAAAATAGAATATAATAAATAGCTATTAAGAACAATGACATTACTATTTCAAGACGAAAAGATCACTGAATAATTATTCTCAACTATGTATTAAAAAAGTTGAATGATACACGAAAAGATTTATTTCGAACGAAGAACGAACGTTGATGTTGATCGTTTTAGAGAAGAAGATTTTAAATATTGATCTTCACTCAATTGTAGAACATCGGGACGATCTTGTACTTTGTAAGTTAAACAACGACGTATGAACTCTTTAGCTTCCGTCGAAACTTGCGGTCGATTTGGAAATTGTACTTCCTTCGCATTTAAAATAATCTGATTTTCTAAAACAGTTGCTTGAGACAAATTATGCCCATATGGTTTTCGACCATATAAACATTGATAAAAAATACCTAAACACAAGTCATTGAGTGAATTTAATTAAAGTGGCAATTTTTACGTACAACCAATACTCCATACATCAACTTTTGATGAAATCTTAGGAGGATTTGGTCCCTGAACAAATACTTCTGGTGGTAAATACCAATAAGTACCAGCACCTAGAATTAAGAACGAGAATCAAGTGACATGAACTGATATTTCTTCTTACCTTGCGATGAAAGATCCATGCCATCTTCATCGAATGAATCTTCATGCATTTGTTTCGATAAACCAAAATCGGTTATTTTGATTTCTCCACTTTGATTTCCTGTTCCCAATAAAACGTTGCCGGGTTTCAAATCATAGTGAATCTACATGCAATTCGATAGGATCTCTCACGAACTATCAACAACTACTTACTACGGGCGGTTTGATTTCTAAATTCAAATACTTTAATGCGTTGATTATTTGCATAATAATCGATCGCGCTTCTTTTTCAGGAATAGTTTTGTTTTGTTTGAGATAAAAGTCCAAATCATTTCCATCGCAATATTCCAAAACGGTACAAAATGAATTCGTATCAATTTCAAATACGTCAAATAATTTTACAATTCCTAAATGATTTCACTTGAAATCTTTTCTCTGCTGACGAAAACAAGAAAACTTACTTTTATGCTGAAGATGTTTATGTATGTCGTATTCTCTAAGCGCATGTTTGATATAATTTGCTTTCTTTTCATCTTTCCACTCTTTATTTAATTGATGAATCTTACATGCCACGTAACATTGATTATTCAAATCAAATGCACGATGCACCTCACTGAATCCGCCTTTACCAATTAACGTTAAAAGTAAATATCGATCATGAAGAATATTATTTATATTGAATCGCGAGTGATCTTCATGATACAAACGTTTCAATTCTCGTATGTGAAGATTTCGATGTCGATCAAGTTTTTCTAAATCTTGAATTAACTCCACTTCTTCACGTTTCAGTGTCAATTGTCGAAGTCGAAGTATCTCGTCATATTCATACCAATCTTGTAAAGACGTTGGAGACGTCGAACACGATGACATCGATGATGATGATGATGAGCTTCTGCTGTCATTCGAATGATCGACAAATGAATGATTTGAATCAAAACTCAACGGAAGTGATTTTTGTGCACTAAAATGACAAAATATCATAGTAGGATAAAGTATTTATAAAAAATATCCTGTCTCGAAGATATATACTTGAATGAGTTCTTCTTCGTTTGTTTGGTCTTGAGCGACTGGTTTGTATCCGAGGAGTTTGATTTGGTTTCATCAAACACTAATGTCGAGATTGAATGTTGTAACAACGCTTTCTTTTTTGCTAGATCTTTCCGATCTTTATTCAGACTTTTCCTGGTTCGAAACAGCTGCTCTTGTGCACGTTTTTTCTCGAGAAAATCGGCCCCGTCAGTCCACTGTTCAATAAATGACATTCCATGTCGTTGAGTGACAAACTGGCCGAGATGCAGACGATTCTCCATTGCTGTTTTTCGCACTTGCTTTTTCTCCAACTGAGATTTATCAATCAATAAAGTTCGTGTCATCGTCAAGCAGCGTTTGATTGTTTCAATCGTATTTTCATTTTGACATTGAATATCCATTTTTGCTCGATATAATTCATTGATTTGTGCAATCAATTCATTTTCTTCAATTGCAGATGTACACGAAGGTACAGAATTAGTTTGAGTGGATTTACTACTAGAGTTAGATGACATTAGAACTGATTCGTTGGACGGTATCGTAGTTGGTAAGGGTGTGATATGGCAAGGCGACCGTTTTGCTGGCACTGATGGGGCGAGAAACGGTTGTTTACGCTTCCGAGATGGACAAATCGAAGAATTCATATTTGATTGGGATAAAATCGGCTCGAATGTTGTTGATGACAACATTTTTGTTAAGATGAAATCTGATGGCTTGACTTGTTCACCTCTTGAAAAATTCATTACATAATTCAATTGACGAAAGTCGAAATACGTACTTCGAATAAGCGCACAACAATTGATCATTTGATGGTAAACATGACATTGGTACTGATTTTGTTGTTAGATGAAATATCTGATCGTTATCTTGATCAGGTCTCGAATAGAGTGCAGGAGATGGCATTCGCCACTGCAGCAGTGCGGATTGGGATTCAGAGTTAATCATCCGGATGACAAACAACTAAATCAAAAATAGGCAAGGTTATTGTCAATGTCTACGAAAGACAGAGTAGAAGTAATGCATGTTGAAAAGATCATATGGGAGAGAAAAGAAAAAAAATCATATGATAGATGTTTGTCTGTCTGTCGCAATGAGAAAAAAAACATGAAGGAATGAAAGAAAACGTAAGAGAAACAATCGTGACATCGACACAAGGGCAGCAGCGTGTAAACCGGTCTGTAAACACGTATACAAAACAAGAAACATTGTCATCGGCAAGCACGACTGCGGTTGTTATGATGAGTGAGAAAAAATATCGAAAAAAGTAACGACAAAGAATGAAAAACTACTCTGTGTCTACCTTTAATAGTCACGATCATCATCACCATAATATTGCTTCTTTCTATTAACTGAAAGCATTTGAAATAACACACTACGACGAAAAATAGTACATTTGTAATCGTCGTTTTACCAATATGAAAAACATCATGCATCGATATGATCTAGAACACAGACATAATGATTTTCAGATATCATTTAGTTTTATCGAAAGGCAAAGATACAACATATTTTGAGAAATAGTATCGGATGACTCGAAAATATTCGATTCATACAACGCACATGAAATTGATCGATGATTCGTATAGAGAGAGGCTCGATATTGTTTATATTTAGTAAACACAATCAACAATCATATGATGTTCTAATCTTATCATGATTACTTAGAAAAATCGTCGACCGCTTCACCGTACATCATGTGCGATTCTCTATAGGCGCGCAAAGTTTAGAATCGCAAAACCGGTGAAAGTACATACCTGACACAATATATCTCGATTAGATCTGTGTGTTTCAAACGTATTCCATCTACTAAAAACTAATCAGAGAAACAAGCTGATTCAAGATTTCTATTTTTATACCAAACAAAATGAAAGTGATCCTTGGTCTCAAAAACGCATATATTTTCGCAGAGAAAAACAAGTTTATTATAGAAAGCAGAAAAACATCTAGTTTTGTTAGAATGTACGTCATTCTACTCTCCACTTAATCATTAGTTCAACAGAACACATCCTTTTCCGTGACAGTAGACATATATTAGTACTTTGATTTATTAAAATCAGCCGTTTCTATCAACAAAAATGATTGTATTACAGTAATAGAAAACGTTTCTGTTTAATAAATTCTTAATAAATAACTTATTGTTTCTACAATGTAGGACACACATCTTTCGAAAAGAGAAAGAACTTTTATCATTAAATATCTTCATTGGTTAGACTAGTCTACCAATGTTAAACAACCATTTGGATTAAAATATTCTCCTTTGCTTTATTCTACTTGAATTTATCATCATGACGAGTGGTAATGCTGGCCAGTCACTTTTTGCAGGAAAAAGTAAACTATTAGCTGTGATCGGCGATGAAGTATGTGACATAAGTAATTCAATTTGAAAAGTTCCTATTCGGTGTTTATTCAAAGGATACGGTAACCGGATTTTTGCTGGGTGGAATCGGTGAAATTAGTGCGAAAACGCGGAAACGAAATTTCTTGATTGTGGATAAAAGTTTGTTTTGAAAAGGAAACGCATTCGATTCAAAACTTTCGATTGAACTTTAGCCACGAAACTAACGGACATTGAAGAAACGTTTAAAAGTTTTCTCACTCGAGATGATATTGGTATTATTCTTATCAGTCAATTCGTAAGATATGTTCTGTGCTCTGTGAAAGTGATGAAAACTTTTGTTTCAGATTGCCGAACAAATCCGTGGGGTAGTCGATGGACATGACAAATCAGTACCTGCTATTTTAGAGATTCCAAGTAAAGAACACCCGTACGATGCGTCGAAAGATTCGATTTTACGTCGTGCTCGGGTAAGAACTTTTCACTGAAGAAAATCGCATCTGTTTGTTTCTCGTGTCTCGCTTTTCAGGGTATGTTCAGTGCTGATGATTTCAAATGAATTTTATTTATCGATTTCTATTTTTTCGTTCTTCTGTGATTATGATGATTTATAATAAATGTCAACTTTAAGAAACGAGATTCAGTTGATTATTTGCCAAAGATCAACGAGAACTAATGTACGCGTTCTACAACAAATGCATAGCGATTGATAAGCATATGCGCTGTTCGGAAGTATTTAATTATCTACGAATTACACGTTATCTAACCGATAAGACAAAAAAAAATTAATTAGTACCAAGGACATACAGTACTCGCTTTTACTAGTAGTAATTATTAAACGTTATTTTCTCTTGTCCAGATGCACTCGTTGATCTGAGTTATACTCATTCTCTTTTAACGGTATTATTGCTATTTTCTGGAAAGGATGTTGCCGGGTGTACTCTCGTACATGTTTTCAAGAACTTAAAACTATTTCTCGATTGCCTCGGCGGATGTTCAAACCTGAAAGATTGCCTGACAATTAAAATCTATGAATATCATATTACGATTAGAACATTCGTTAACAATTAGTCTCAGCCTTCAAAACAGGAAAAAAGTACTTTTTTTACACTTTGCTCTGTTTCCTCCACGCAAATGGACAACAATATCGATCGAAAATGTGCTTCTGTTTTCGTTCGTTCGTTTGCACTTAAACATGCGCCACTGAGATGAAGAAAGAAAGAAAAACTTTTCATTTTCATCGATATTTTCTTCCAAACGCTTCTCATAGGAACAAATGTGGTCGATTTTATTCTATACCTTTCTGTTTCTTGCTTTAAGTATAATTGGTTTCATCTATTTCAAACTTATTCGTCCGGAAAAGCAAATCTATGATAATTTGCGTGCTCAAGGAATTACAGGCGAACCATTCGTTCCTTTGCTTGGTCAGCTTCCAACTCTCCGTCGATATCGCGAAGCAGATATGATGATGACCTATTACGAAGATCTTGTCAAAAAATATGGTCAAGTGTTTCTGTATTGTTTCGGCCCAGTAATGCGTTTAGTGGTCAATGAACCTGATATGCTTGCTGATGTTCTTAGCCGAACAAATGCACATAATTATGTCAAACCAGCAGTTGGCAGTAGCGTCTTTGGGCCAGTCATAGGTTATCAAAATCTATTGGTTGCTGAGGGTAGCGAACACGAACGAGCACGCCGAATGATAAATCCGGCGTTTCATTATATAAATCTGAAATCGATGATATCGATCATTGCTGATCGAACACAACAAACAATTGAGAAAATTTTTCATGAAATCGATTCGGCTGAAGCAATTGATTTGCAAGTGTTATTCAACAAGTTAACTTTATCTGTTATTGTAGCAAGTGCATTTGGTTCAGATTTAGAAGCAAATTCTACTGCAAAAAACATTATGATTCGCAGGTTCAATGAAGTTCTCGATGCGGTTCTATATCGTTCGTTATGCATGGTTAATCAAATACCGTTTCTCGCTAAGTTGCCATTTTGGAGAAAACATGTCGTTGATGAAGGTGCTCGACTCATAGGAGATTTTGTCGATCAATTGATCATTGATCGGCGTCAAGGGCATTCAACAAGCATGTCGAACGGACCTGATCTTCTCGACTTACTTCTATCAGCTGTTGATAACGAAGGAAAAGCGTTTACTGATCAAGAAATCAAAGAGCACGCTCTGACATTTGTGCTTGCTGGAAGTGAAACGACAGGAAATCTGATGGTCTGGATGTTCTACATTTTAATGACACACGACAACGTTCTCCAAGCATGCCGTGAAGAAGTCGATGAAATTCTTCCCAGTGGAATTGAAATAACCAACGAACATCTCGCTGATCTGGTCGTATGCGAAGCAGTCATCAATGAAACCTTACGTCTCTACCCGTCGGCACCACTCTTCGTTCGCCAATGCGTACATGAGCATACAATTGGAACCGAACACAAATTACATATTCCCGTTGGCACAACTGTTTTGATCAATAGTTACACACTCCATCGTCGAAGTGATCTTTGGCCTAGACCATTAGAATTCGATTATATGCGTTGGTTACGCGATCCGAAAACAGGTTTGAAACCGAAACTGTGCCACCCATATGCGTATCTTCCATTCGCATCTGGACCACGGAATTGTATCGGACAAAATTTCGCATTATTAGAAGCGAAAATCATGTTAGCGATGTTTATTCAACAATGTGATTTGAAATTAGTACCTGGACAAAAGATCGTTCCTGATCTAAAGATTACACTACGAACAAAATACGGTCTGTTCGCCGACATAACCAAACGAAAGATTTTCAAATGAGAACAGCACATCATTTTCGTCAAATAAAAGTTTGTTTATCAACCAGATTCTATCACGTTCTGCGAGAAATAATTGATTCATGTCGGCACGTACCATACAGTTGATTGGTATAAATATGTGCTAGTTTAGCATTCTTGCCTTCGTTTATCAACAAGAATCTCTGATTTGCATTGATTGACCTTCGGATTTCGATGATAAATCGAATCAACAAATAGCTTTGTGATTGGATTTGGACTTATTTTTCAGCTTCTCATAGACTTTTCCCTTAAGTCATGTCTAAACTCGGTTAATCGTATTTGTGAGAAAATATCACTGAAAACCCATTTTTTTGTACGAGGGAGAAAACATGAAAATTCCTCATGTGTCTATTTATCACGAATGATCTTCCGCTGATAGAATATTTACAAACAGCCGGGAGGTATTCGATTGACTCGAGCTCTTATCAAGTCTTGTCTTCAAACACAAGAAAAGTCTATGATTCCATCAGACATCATTAGCTATTTTAATTATTGTACAAATATGTCATGCGACACGTTATTCATCATCCGGTGTCTGGAATTTTTGTTCACTTGAACAGAAGTATGTTTTACCTCTCGGTCAGCGTGACTTCGACAATTTCGTCACTTATTCAATAGCAATTCAGTTTGATTCTTGTTTTTCTTTTATATTAGTTCGCGTCTTCTAACGCCATGACAGACAAAATCGACAGACATACGAAAAAGAAAAAGAAAACTTACCACACAAGCATATAAAGAAGAAGAAGAAAAAAAAATCATGTGAACAAAAGAATTTGTTGACGATCATTCACACGTTCATCCATCCGATTTATCGATATGACAAGACGGGTGAGTGCGTGTTCGAGCAAAATAGATGAGAAGAAAAAAGACAGAAGAAAAATGAGACCAAAATTTATTTCGACGTCATCATTGTTACGAATTCTAAAACAATCCAAACTCATCTCAGCAACACAAGACCAGCATGTGCTTAGTCTCTTACCTTCGTAGTTAACTTGACCATCTAGAAAAATAGAAAGAGAACAGTTTTGAAATCAAATTCAGTGGACAATTTCGTACCTCCGTCAATATCTGCCTCTCGAATCATTTCATCAACTTCTTCATCAGTGAGTTTTTCACCCAAATTAGTCATAACATGACTGAAATGAGAACGAGATGATTAATCAAAGCAAGACATGCTTATTTGACTCACCGAAGCTCAGCTGCAGATATGAATCCATTTCCATCTTTATCAAATACACGGAATGCTTCACGAATTTCTTCTTCCGAATCCGTATCCTTCATCTTACGTGCCATCATTGTTAAAAACTCCGGAAAATCGATTGTGCCATTACCTTAATTAAATACATAATTCAGTTTGATATGAAAATCCATTTCCTTACCGTCGGCATCAACTTCATTGATCATATCTTGTAATTCGGCTTCAGTGGGATTTTGTCCGAGACTGCGCATAACTGTGCCCAATTCTTTCGTCGTAATAGTTCCGTCGCCATCTTTGTCAAATAAGGAGAAAGCTTCCTTGAATTCGGCTATCTGCTCTTCAGTTAATTGATCAGCCTGAAAAACAAAAGCCAATGAATAATTGAAATCTCTGAAGAGTGTTTATTCTGGCTTCATTTCGATGTACAATCTCGTAAATTGTCATTCAAAAAGCATCAAATTCGGTCATATTCCCTTAAGATTAGCATATTAATGTCACTATTATGAGAAAGATATCTCAATCAATTAAATTGCTGTTTTTATTTAATTCAACTAATTCTTATTGTAAGAAAGATAGTAATCTTTAATGGCATGTTGTCAACATTGCATTGCTTGTTGACAATATGATGAGTGTTCTATGTTGGAAAATGAGAACGCATAAGAATCTAAAGTTTAAAAATAGTCTTGTTGATAATGGATATCTTCAAGTATAGTCGACGATGATGATGATGATGACAATAGAGAAAAACTTTGGTATATGTCGATATATATTTCTTCGGTTTTATTTTCTTCTATGATAGATGATTCAACAAATAAAAGAATGTCATTAAATGATCGAATAATAAACTTGTCAAAAGGAAAACACAATAACAATTGGAAAGACGAGCTTCATATATATTTTTTATCTGGACTATCTCGATATTGTTGTCGTCGTTGCAAGAACAAGAATCGGATGTGCTATGTCGTGTGTTGTTTCTAGGCTCCCCTCTCTCTTTCTCTTTACACACATTCCAGTAGAATCAATTAAGATGCGCGAACGCAAACGGCGCACCATCTTTCATGCGAAAGCAGACGAAGAACAAGAAGCGAGAGTAGTTTCAACCTTCTCTGTCTGTGTGTCACAATCAGTTGGCGCCCAAGAAATCGCTTTGACACACGCGAGCACGCGAACATTTGCTTGTTATACAAAAACGAGAACGAAGGAAAAACCTGAAAAATATATATTTCTATTCTGTCTATTGATTTAATGATTAAAATAACGATAAATACCATTACAATTTTCCCTAACATGAAAATGATCCTTGTGTTTTTCTCTCGTTGTTATTTAACACAAATATTCTTCACGGAATTCTCCAACATTTGTATTCCAACAAGGAATCATTAATGATAACATACATAGAAAAACTATTTACTAGCTCGACAGATTAGGTCATTATGAATGCTGAATAATCGCTTGTATTTATACAACGAAAGTATCAGATATCTTTGTCTGACATGATGCTATTTTCCTTCGTTTTCTGACAGGTAAATAAATAAATAAAGTATTTTATCGAAAACATCAACTTGATTGACGGCTGAGTTCTTTATTTCTTAGATGAACACAAAATTTTCCTGTTATTTTAGTATTTTTTCGGATGAAAAAACTACCTTATTAATCTAGTTTGTTGTGTTTTTTTGTTCAAGAAACTATTTCCGTATTTCTTTTGTGTTTCCTATCTAACTTACCATTATGTTAAAAATGGAATTGAATTTGTCCTAGGTTTCCGTTTGTATGTATTTGTTCTGGTCGACCTGTATGCCAGGTTCGAAAATAACGATTATTCGTCGTTCTTATCGCTTCTAGCCAACACCGGGGTTCGTGAGTGTGGATGTGTGGATGTGTATATGCGTATTTGTTTGAGTGCTTGCGCGCGAACGATGCCGTTCAATTGTAGATAAAGTAGGAGAAAGAGAAAGAGAGAAAGAGAAAGAGAGAGAAGGCGAGAGAGAAAGAGAGAAGAATAGCTTGACTAGGCACGAACGTAATATACACGGCAACACAAAGCAATAGTGGAGCAACAACTTATCTTGTTGGTTCGAGACGGCAGCAAGAGTATTTTCTTTGATGATGACAACGACAATGACGATTCTCGTTTCTTGTTCTATAGAACAGAAGAAAAAAAAACCGAGTAGAAGAAAAAGGCAAACCAGAGCACGTTGTTAGATCCAAGCGAGAGGGAAATAAAAACTGATTTTCTCTTCTTCTCTTTGGCTTACAAAAGCAGAAGGAAAAGAAGAAGAGGTATGTTCATTATTCTCCTCTTTCCTGCATTCTTCTTCCGGCATCAAGCGATGCTAGCTAGATGCAAATGAAAGAATCTAATGTCGTTTTCAGACGACGAGTAGCGATGATGCGATGTAACGTTGATTTGTCGTCTCATGAGTGGTAGTCAAAAAGAGGCAAAAAAAGACTGTTGAGATGCAAGAGAAGAACCACTCTTTGCACAATAATACACAGAATTGTATGAAACGTCGTTCGTTCTTTTCCTTTGGTTTGACAACGCATCGTTTTTTTTATTTTTAGCGTTTTTTCTCTTCTCTGCTGGTTGCATCTTTATTGTCGTTGAAACACAGAAAGAGAGAGAGAGAAGGAGAAAGAAAAGAACCTTGTTAGAGCACGCAATGCCTTGACAACAACTTATACGTATATTCTGCTTCTCAAGTACATCGTTGCATGGAAGCTTTTATCAATCTAAATACTGTCGATTTCGAGTTCAGGGCTAATCAACTGTCATGTTCAAATTCGATTGTAGCATATTTTAGAATGCTAGAGTAGAAACAAGAAGATGTTAATTCATTCTTGACTCAAGAGACTCGCTTATTAAAGTAGATGAACGACAGAATAGTCTTAAAAGGAAAAAAAAAACTTCAACTGGAAGTTTAACCAAGTCAGTGTATGTGTTCACCTAGAAGACAAGAAAATATTTAATTATTTTCCAACGAGACGACTTTGTGCAAGAGAATGAAGAGAAAAACAACATCTTGAGATCTATAGAACTAAAGATGAAGCATTAATGCTTGCTTGCATAGATAGAAAATGATCGACGGCGTTTTCCTTTCTTATTGATTAACTAGGAAATACGAAGTATCGAGATGAAAAGAAGGAAAACTCTTCAATTGACATAACATCAGCATTGCATATCATTTGCTTTTATTTTCCTCATATATGTAAAGATGAAATCGTCCGATCGGATTATGATTGCATATTTGAATGTTAATCATTCTTTGATTTGTTTTCTCATCGGCTCATTTTCGAAAGAAACTACATCGAACATCGGAAAAATCATTGAGCAATTGTCGATTTTGTACTCCTTCTTTCAATGTATGCGTGTGCTCCTTTGTCTTTGCCATTATTACTATTGCTTTCGTCGAATAAAACGTTCATCTTCTAGAACAGTTTTATTTTGTGCAATCTCAAGGGTAATAAGACATCGTTATTATTATTGTTGTTCAAACTAGACACTGTCGAATGACAATTTCTTGGCGTTTGTTGTGCATACTTTCGCATTTTGCAAGAAGATATTTCATTGACCCAAGCATGATCAATCATCTCCATCTCGAAATTGAATATGGTTGCAATTCATTATACAAAGAACCTAATCCTTATGCAATAGAAAGAATCGCGTGATGCCAACATATTGTTCCACCTTTTATCAAGTACTCAGGAGGAAAGCAATGGTTAGAATTCTGTTCTAAATAATTTCGCCTTTGATAAATGGCACGATATTGAAATTCACGATGAACAACGTTTATGTACACATTGTTTCTCCTTGAGTTGTACCTCTTCAACATACGTCGAAAAGAATACTACGTATATACAAGTGCCATTTCATGTGTCCTTCTGTTCGTTCTGTCAGTACTTAAACGTATTCTTCATATCTCAGAGAAAAATATTTCGAGAATGTGTTTGAATAACCTCACATCCAACATCAATCTAATCATTAAAAAAAACGACCAGAGCATCATAACAAAATAACTTTTTTATAAATAATTCTTCGAATATTTTTCGTTTTCTTCCCTTCTACAAAAGGCGAATGATTTCATTCGATCCGAGTAACAATGCTGACACCAACGATTATCGTTGCATATTATACTGCATGGTCCATTTATTCACGAGCATTCTTCATCGCGGATATTCCAGGTGATAAAATTACTCATATTAATTACGCGTTTGCGAATATTGGGGCGGATGGACGAATTGCACTAGGTGATCCGTGGGCAGATGTGGAGAAAACATTTGGAGATGATACCTGGGATCAACCATTGCGCGGAAATTTTAACCAATTGATTAAATTAAAAGAGAAATATCCTCATTTACGGACGTTGATTTCAGTCGGTGGATGGGTAAAATATGATATTGGATTTGATCCATCGAATTCTTTCATTTGATATGTTTGTAGACATGGTCTGGAAGATTTTCCGACATCGCTTTGACGAGAGCGAGTCGTGAAAACTTTGCTCAATCATGTGTGGAATTTATTCGAAAGTATAGTTTTGATGGCGTCGATATTGATTGGTAAATGATTTTGTTTCTCTTGACAATGGATTTGAATTTTATATTTAGGGAATATCCTGTATCTGGTGGCTTACCAGGAAATACTCGTCGACCAGTTGATAAACAAAACTACGTACTTTTACTGAAAGAAATTCGAGAACAATTGGACGTCGCTGGTAGAATAGATAGAACAACTTATCTTTTAACTGTTGCGTAAGATTCACCCTTCCCTCCAGAAGAAAAAATTGTAGCCTTTAATTGCTTTTCGGCGTCTGTAGAACAGGAGCAAGTACTGAACGGATCCTTGATATGGATTTGCGAGGAATGTCTACTTATCTCGACTGGATAAATATAATGGCCTACGATTTTCATGGTGAGTTCCATATTCTTCAAGACCTTCAATGTGCGATAATCCACTCAAATCACAGGTGGTTGGGAAGCTAAGACTGGTCACAATGCACCATTGTTTCGAAACGATGCTGAAACAACAACAGATGTTGCTCCGTCGTTCATTAAATCAAGATATAATTGTCACGGAGCTATTCAAGGTTATATTGCTACTGGAGCACCTCGTTCAAAGTTAGTGTTGGGCTTGGGCTTGTATGGACGCGGTTGGCAAGGTAATCTAGATTTCTTACGTTCGATCACATGTGTATGTTGATCTGTTGTTTGCTTCCAGGTGTAAAGAAAACAGATATGAATGGATTTTCTCAGCCGGCTTCTTTGCAGCCACCGCCAGGCACATGGGAAAATGGCGTTTTTGATTACGACCATTTGAAGAAAAGTTATATAATCACATATACACGTCATTGGGATAATCAATCGAAAGTTCCTTACCTATATAATCCAACAACCGGTATATGGATCAGTTATGATGACCAGCAATCGATTGCTATTAAAGCTGATTATAT